AAAGATAATTTTAAGCGTGAAAACTGTCCATATTTTGATGTCATGATATGTAAATTAAAAATTGTTATTATCTTGTTTTCTTGTGCCCAATAATGCATAATTTCATTTGATAAACACGTTTAGATTGAATGGTAATTTATAATCAGTCACAAGAACGTCGAATCTGAATCACTTGAAAAAAACACGGGGTGCTTAACTTTTTTCCAGGTGTATATTAATTTACCTATGTTATGAGTATTGTAAAACAATCTCCTAGTGATGTTATAGTACATTCAGTCGACCGGTAACAGCACTGTTGGGTAAATAGTTAATAGCTTAATTGTAAACAGTATACCTGAGTAAATAATTTAGTAACTCAATTGTAAACAGGATACCTAAGTAAATAACTTAGTAACTCAACTTTAAACAGTATACTTGAGCAAATCACTTAGTAACTCAACTGTAAACAGCATGGTATGTAAATCACTTGGTAACTCAACTGTAAATATCACTACTTTGTTAATCTCTTGAAAACTCAACTGTAAGTAGCTTAGGTGTGTAAATCACTTAGTAACTCAACTGTAAATATCACTACTGTGTAAATTCCTTAGTAATTTATCTATAAAATGCTTAGCTGTGTAAATTCCTTAATAAGTCAATTGTAAATATCACTGTTGTGTAAATCCCTTAGTAAGTCAATTGTAAATATCACTGTTGTGTAAATCCCTTAGTAAGTCAATTGTAAATATCACTGTTGTGTAAATCCCTTAGTAACCTAATTGTAAACAGCATAGCTGTGCAAATCATTTACTAATTCAAGTGCAATTACAACAATCACTCTACAGTGTAGACTATTAATATAAAACAATGCTAAAACAATCTTCTTTAGGTCCAAGTAGTACAGTCTTAAAAGATTCACTAAAAGACGTCTCGAGAAGTACAGGAAACTTCATGTTGCTATTATTTTAGAAGGCTGACAACTCCAGTTCCAGCTTACCTTGGAATAAAAAACAAACAAGATGAAGTACATCTACCCGAATCCGTGTCTGTGGTTGGTTCTGGTGCTAACGAATTTAAAATTCACTATCGGAAGGGAGGCAAGTTGACATTTTGTATTTACTTATTTAAATTTCTAATCTGGGAGTCACATGTTCTTCAGTTGTGAAACAAACAAATCACCTTTTATTTTGATATAATACCTTTATGTATAAAATATAATATAAATTGAAAGCACTAATAACTCTATTCATTGAATCAACATACTGCTATATTCTACCTAGTTCTGCAAGCAATAATAATTATAGAATAAAATATTTAAGTATTCTTATAAAGCTACTCAGATGACCTTTTTATGAAAATATTTCAGTTGAACCTGGAAGCCATTTCGAGAGAACAAATAACAAGGTTTTTTCAAGTAGAGACTTACGAACAAGGTACGCTAACAAAAAGAAAAAAAAACAGATTTGGCTAATACTCCAACTTACCGTTAATGAGGTAAGCTGCATATCTATATGTCATAGAAGATAACAAATAGACACTGAAACAATAAGACTACAGATACGCATTGTGACAGAAGTAAAGAGATACTCTTTTTTTACTTAAACTAAATTATTTTGACTGAAATCAATAGATACACAGACTGAGGGTAGAAAACGTGATAGAATATAAGAGGAAAATGTGACAGAAGATAGTAAATGTGGCAGTAGATACCACAGATCAGATACGCAGTAGAACAGGAGACGACAGAGAAAAAGATGAGAAATAAATGGATAAAGAGTGACAGAAGAAGTTAGTAAATACACTGTCTGGCAGAAGGCAGTAGATGCACATTCTAAAAATAGATAAAAGAGATCAGATACACAGTAGGACAGGAAATAACAGATAGAAAGTGATAGAAAATAGCAGACACACAGTGTGACGTGAAATAGATGATAATGGCAATTAGAGAGGTTGGTCGTTTTTAGAAATGAGGGAGATAATGTTGAAGTATACTCGTGTTCAAGTGTACCAATAAACTCAGAGAAATGAACAGTTCTTTCTGTAGTTCCAGACTACGACGTGGTTCATGTGAGGTCACTCGGTAAACGGGAAACTGAGAGAAATGACGTGAAGGAAGTACACCTGACGGCTTTTGGTGAGACCCTTCGTCTTAACCTGAAGAAAAACCATGAGTTTCAAGATAAACTGAAATCGATGAAGTTCCTTGAAGCTAAATCATTAAATGGAGAGCTACATTATCAGGAAATAGATGAAGAGGTAAAATAAAAACACGTTTCAAGTATTTAGTTAATTTGATAATTCGGGAAAGAAATCGCCAGTTGGATTGTTGATGGAGAACCTGTTACACTTCTTATTTTTTCAAAGCAAAATGTCTGTTATTTTTTACAGATTCAGGAAAAACAATTTAATTTACAAATTTCAACACTGGGGTGACAAAGTTATACAATACTTACTATAGCAGTTAGAATAATGAGTGTGTGTGTATTTTAACTATGTGATGAACAAGATTCAGGTTTGTTTCAGTAGTGTATCTACAAATGAAGCAGCTGTACAGCTGCCCCAGGGAGCTGCCTGAAGAAACTCAAGAATGGTCTAATTTTGATGTATATAAAATTAACACTGTTTGTGCCTACGAGCTAACCTGATGAAACTAAGTAAACTCGTATAGGCCCACCTTAAGCTACACAAAATTAACACTTTTGTGAAGCAAGGGCCTGACCGATAAACAGTTGCAACTTGTGAATGACCACCTGTGAAAACGGTAATCTTTGAGTTCCATTAGGAGTCAATAACTATAAGCCACGCTCTCCCCCCGCTGTAGTATTGCATGAAACAATAGAAAAAATAATTTTATTTATCTTTTACTTCAGTATTAATTTACTTATCTAAAATCAGCAGCTTTGGCTGTGTATGTGGAAATCACAAAATATTCTTGGCCCAGTGCCTTCATACGCCACTGGCTTGTTTGGGTAAAATGGGATATATAGGTATGTTAAATTTTGTTTTATTAGAGCATTAATACTTTTTTTTTTTCAAAAGAGAGTCTCGAAGCTTAACAAGCGAAATTTGTTTTTTCATTCAAGAATTCATTTCTAAGTCCCTTTATCTCTTGTAATTGTAAAACATTCTAACAGATTGACGTGAAGCTAATTTCTGTTCTACCCTCTAATTAGTTTTAATTCCAGTTAATCGTGCTTAGATTACTTACACACTCTTTGTTTTATAACTTTACGTCTCAAAAATTACTCAGGTTAAATTTTTCATTTCATTGTTGGTTTAATTAACGTGTTCATTGTTTATGTATATTTTCAACGCAAGGCTACACAATGAGCTAGCTGCACACTGTCCACAACGGGAAATTGAACCCTGGATGTTAGCGTCGTTAGATCATAAACTTACGGTTGGAAAAATAATGGATTCTTTGACAGTCTATGTACTATATATCTACATTTCTGTTTCTAATGGACAATAAGCTATAAATTATATTATCTTTACTCAACTGTTATAGCTTTATTTTTCTGTTATTAAAAGGCTTGGAGAAGGAACTTCTTACATTTTTAGAAATTTGAGAGTTTATCTGATGTATTTATTTGTATTGCATTTGAAGGAATCAGAAGAACATAATATTGGGGTACCTTATTATGACCCAGTGACCATGTCCGCAGTACTAATAAGGGAGCAAGACGGAATGCTTAATCTGGTAAGAGATTAATATGAAAATTTATGGGTGTCATGCTTTGTTGGATAAAGCTTAAACAACTAATTTGAACGATGTTGATAAGGCAATAGAAGTGGTGACAAATAGATGTATAAATAAAGATTAAAACTAAAGAAAACAAAAAGACGCAAAAAAATTGAACAAGAGACTACAGAAAGATATAAAAATGTAACAGAATTTCAAAAACATACATATAAAGGTAACAAGAAAAGTGCAAGCAGAGGTAGAAAGAAAAAGTTCAATAAATGTAATAAGAACAACACGAATTAAAATAAAATATGCTTTAATAGGTGTGATAACAACAGTAAAAACAGCGGTGAGAACAATGAATCCAAGTAGAAGTGACATAAAAGAGTAAAAACAGTGACGACAAAAATAAATCCAAATAAAGGCACTTACAGTGGTGGTTAAAAAAAGTGTGAGGTTTCTATGTATGTAAGGGCCGGATTGTTTTACAGTAGGTGTCTGTGACTTATTGGCGATAAATTAAAACAATGAACGGACAGCACACAATCCACTTGGTTTGAATATATTATTGTAAAACAAGTGGATTGTGTGCTGTCCGTTCATTTACGAAATCCTTTACACTACAGGATATCACAGACAGGTTGCATGTTCATAGTCTATTCAGGTCTACTTACAAACGCATAGTCAATAGTCTATCCAAGTTTCTCATAAATTCATAGTCAAAAGTCCACACAGTCTGGTTCAGTTACTTTAGAACCCAATTGGCAAGAAGAATTATTTTTCTCTACTCTATTTCTTACTACACAATCTGATGCCTAGAACTTTCTATAAACTACGAGACGCTATAATGTAACGATACTCACTTAAGGCAACGAGAAAAATACAGAAGGTTCGAGTAATGTGACGTCAAATTACAACAACTGAACTACACTCACACAACGTACGACTCTTACCGAGTTACGTAACGAAATTTGTCATAACTATCACCTTTAAAATAATTACTTTTAACGCTTGTTATGAAAACTAAATAATCACTGGATATTAATTTACAATATAAATTAGATAATAACTCTTACACTAAAAGTATTGTATATCTAGCAAAGGGCAACCAAACAGAGGTGGCAAAAGGACATTCAATTAAATTGAAAAATAAATCCAAAATCCTGTGAGGAAAAAGGAATAGTACAAACAATGGAAACAGGGAAAATTCCAAATAAAAGTGACCAGATCAGTAAAAATAGTAATGATAAGAAGACAAATAGAGGTGACTAGTAAAAACACATTTGAATAGAAGTAACATTAAAATCTGTTTATGAAGAAAAACAAAAAAGAAACTCTAAATTTCCCTTACGTTCGAGGTTTAACAATTCAATTATATAAAGTATTT